TTTCTGGAATTTGCACTGATTTCTGTCACTTCCAGGAAGTTATTTGAAGCCCATGGTTAAGAGGTGAGGGTGGTTAGTCCTGAAGAGCGAGATTGTTATTTTTACACTAAAAGTATCAGGGCTTTAAGCAAATTAAGTTTTAAAAGATTGCCTGCAATGTGCTGGACTTGACTTAAGATTTCAGGCAACCCGGTTTTCAAAACTCCAGGTAGATTTATATTTCACTAAATCCATTCATTTCAAACTTTTGTTAAAACTTAAAACTTTTGTTAAAACTTAACTCGGACTAGCCTGCTTATATACGTTTACAATAAGATTCTAGAACTTTCCAAATAGTCTAATTATAGAAAGATTACAAAATATACCGCTTTAGGAACGCTTACGCAAGATCCTAGAAATAAACAAACTCAAACTCTCGCGAAGCTTCTAGAAAGTCACGCTAGTCACGCAATACAATTTTTCGTAACAACTTTTTATAATGAATGAAGATACTAGAAGAGCGGGTGTAGATATTATTGTAGAACATTTTATACCTGAACTAGAAAGACTTCGTATTTTTGTAATGGGTTCTATTAAATCTATGTTAGAAGGTACAAATTTGGATTCTGAATATTTAGATGTTTTTGGTATTAGTAAAAAAGATAATGAAGAATATTTGGCAAGAGAAGGTGTAAGAAAAAAAAGATCCTGTACTTAATAAGGAAAAAGAAGGATTGAAAACAAATAGTTTTTTAAGAGGAGAAAATAGTAGTTTAAGTGTTTTATCTAAATCATATGTAGACCATGACAAAAAACCAAAAAGTGTTAGGTTATAATATAAATATGCTTTTTTTTCCTTCCAAAAAGATATATAGAATAATTACCACTATAGACCAAGAGTTGAGAAAACTTTATTCCTCATATCATTTTCTTACCCTATTTAAAACGGTAGCTTATTCTGAGATAAGAGACAATGAAGCCCAATTCGAATCTTTACTTAATAGAGTAGAGAAGGAAATAGATAAGATTCCCAAAAAGATTAAAATAAAACATAAAGATGATGAAGCTTTTCGTACAACTTTTCACGGTATTTCATGTTTCTTAGATGAAGCAAGACAATGACAACAATAAACAAAAAACTTTGAAATTGATAAAAGCCGAATTTTGTGTGGTCTAGACCAGCTACTGAAAATCCAACAGTAGGAACTTAAAGTTTAGTGTTCAGCAAACAGTCTCCGTACGAAATAAAAAATTCTCCACGTTTAAATTCGACTAAAACGAAAATATATTTCAGACCTTAAATTTTCAATAACCGTGATAGATTATCTAATAAAAACGTTATATATGACTCAAATTAATCCTAAGTGGCGTCAGAATGCTGCTTAATATCATATTTCGATGCTAGGAGATTTGGTGTATTTTCGTTCTTGCGATCTTGAAAACTAAACCGTTTTCTCACCACCTGTGTAAGTGCAACTTCATTTAAAATTTGGACTTTTAGCCCTTTTTTGTTTATCTCTTAAACGACTCGAACGAATTTTTTAAAAATCTCATTACATAATTTTCATAATATATATAATTATGTCTGAAACTTTCATTAAGATTGATTCACTGCAACACCTTGAAATTTCAAGACAAAACCCATCCTACGAACAGGTCAAAAATCCGCGCTACAACATTCACTGTTTTGATAGCCTGCAAAGCAGGCGTATTTTGGGGCGGGATCCATGAATTGTTTTCAGGAATGACGTTGTCCCGCCATCTTGGACGTTAATACTACCAGAGAGTTGGGACGAGTCAAAAGGTGTTTTTAAGGGAGAGGTAGATGGGTGAATTGTTTTCAGGAATGATGTTGTCCCGCCATCTTGGACGTTAATACTACCAGGGAGTTGGGACGAGTCTTTTTCGTTGCTTTTCAAGATGGCGGCCACGATCAATGTACCTCCGAGTTTTCGTTAAAAAACGCCTGCTCTGCAGGCTACTGTTTTGACGTTATGCTAAATTTTTCCAAATTGATGCGGACAATTAATACATATCATGTATTGATAACTATAGTTTTGTTAACTTAGGAACATCATATCCATCAACAACAAGTGCAGTTATCTCGAGCCTCTGTCTCAGCAGAACGAAATTTTGAATAAACCACTCCTTAATATATCATCTGAAGTCTCTATCTTATTCTATCTCTGGCAGATATTTCGGCCTTGTTTATATTAAAAGTAATTGATGTTTTGATTAAATCTAACGGTTTCTCAGAAAACCCCGAACTGTGCAAAACACAAACAATCCACCAATTCATGCTAATATTTTCCTAAAGAACCACACGCAGCTGTGTAGGTAATTAAAAAAGAATTAACTAAAAAACGCAGTGGACCAAACCATAGCCCCGAGTAGCTGATTTTCCAGTATTTTTATAAAAATTGAAAAATTTCTTAAATGGCAGGAAAAAAAGTACAGAGGGAGTGGGTAATGAATATGTAGTCATTTACTTTACCTTAACTTGGAAATGCCAAAATCGCAAGAGTGACTTTGTCAAACATTTCAAAACAGAAATTTTAGTTGGGGTTTCGTAGTTCGTTGCAACTCTTTTATTCATTTTTATTCAGTACGTTGTCTTTTTTTTAGTACAGTCTTTACCCAAAACGCCTGGTTCCTTGAATGTTTTCGATTTAGTTTCTTGGGGTTCTGTCAAAGAGAACTTTTTAAGTGACCGCAGCTGGGCTTTATTTTGCTTCTTCGATATACCGTATTTCCTCGCATAATAGCCGTCCGTCGATTTATCGCCTCCCGCGAATAATCGCACAACTTAAGTACACGACTTCCAGTGGACAATATCTGAATTAATCGCCTCCCTCGAATAATCGCCCCCTTTTGGTGCGAAAAAAGAAATAATCACCCCCGGCTATTAGGGACTTTAAGCAAAGAGTGCGGAGGGGTCTATCTATAGTACGTTGACCGGAAGTATTTTTTTTTTACCAGCCGTCAATGTCTCAGATACGTATTCGAATTCGGGACGAGTACGTAGTACGGCAAGTTACTAAAAAATTTAATTAGCAAATCAACAACTTTGCACGTGTATTTTATTGTTTTCTCAACATTTCTNCTTTTATTCATTTTTATTCAGTACGTTGTCTTTTTTTTAGTACAGTCTTTACCCAAAACGCCTGGTTCCTTGAATGTTTTCGATTTAGTTTCTTGGGGTTCTGTCAAAGAGAACTTTTTAAGTGACCGCAGCTGGGCTTTATTTTGCTTCTTCGATATACCGTATTTCCTCGCATAATAGCCGTCCGTCGATTTATCGCCTCCCGCGAATAATCGCACAACTTAAGTACACGACTTCCAGTGGACAATATCTGAATTAATCGCCTCCCTCGAATAATCGCCCCCTTTTGGTGCGAAAAAAGAAATAATCACCCCCGGCTATTAGGGACTTTAAGCAAAGAGTGCGGAGGGGTCTATCTATAGTACGTTGACCGGAAGTATTTTTTTTTTACCAGCCGTCAATGTCTCAGATACGTATTCGAATTCGGGACGAGTACGTAGTACGGCAAGTTACTAAAAAATTTAATTAGCAAATCAACAACTTTGCACGTGTATTTTATTGTTTTCTCAACATTTCTTTACCATCACTGCACGACCACGACGAAAATTCCTAATTTCACGTTTTGTTGAGGAAGTAAACAAACGAAGACAAGCTTTTTCCCCTATGAGTTACGTTCGCCTACATTTGACAAAGTAAGCGACCTTTAATTAGGGAAAAGTTTGAAAGAATTCAAATTCACTTAAAAAGCGGCGTCGTAGTACCTTGAGAAAAAATTACTTCCGGTCACCGTACTAGACCCTTCTGTAGTCGTTCCTTTCCCTGTTATTCGAGGAAATACGGTAATTACTAATATTAAAGGGAAAAAGTTCCAATGTCTCGCTTTCTTTGCGGAGACTCAATGTTAACTGTCTGGGCCATTTGCACTAAGAGGTCATGTGACATCGTTTTTATGAAAATGAAAGTCATATGATTTGCCTTCGAAAAACGATTAGTGGGTCATATCTTAAACAAAATAATAGTGATTTGGTTTTTCAAACCCGCACCATTTTCTTCAAATGAGTAAGTTCGTAGCTGATCACGTGACCAAAATGTTATTTTAAAATTATGAATTACCTCTTTCTGAACTCAAGTTTTGGACTTAAACTTCAATGAAAATGTTGAAAAGATAATGTGATAACTTTTACAGCACATCTGAGCGTAACTATCAAACGTTTAACAAGATATAAAGCAAAAAGTAGTTTTGGCCGCCATGTTGGAGGGTAAGAGTGTGCCCTCCAACATGACGTCCAATACAAATCATACTTCTTTGCTGAAAAATCAAAGTGCCATGAAATATCTTCCTTAAATGCGTTTCCTCTCAAATTTCGGGTGTAACATAATTTTTATGTGCTCTGTCAATTTTTGGCATTAGCAAGATTCCAACTCATTGTTTAAAGGAAGCATTGGTCACGTGACCTCTTCGTACAAGTGGCCTATTGTCGCCAAGTTCTGCCGCAGGGTTTTCTTACTTATACCTCCAATAAACGGCGCACTCTTTTGATTGGGTCTGACGTTTATTGGACAGCGGCGTTTAATCCAAAAAAAGGGTATTTTAACTATCCAAAAATGTGTGTATTTGTGTGTCTTTGGGTGGGGAGGGGGTTGGGAATCAAGAACCCTCTCTTCCCTATCCGCGTTCTCTGTAAATTTCACGTGCAGAACAACAAAGAATTTTCTATAGTTGATATCCATCTATATATTTGAGTTCCATAAACTTTCTTGAAGTTTTAGAGGCAACTTCCCGTGCTAAAAATCGCTACTATTTCTACTTCAGGTCTTTGGATCCAGAAAAAGAAAAGTGTGATATTTATGATATGGCTTGGCGAGCGGAGTTCTTAACAGACGACACCTACAAACATCTGGTTGCTCAGGTGTGTATCGATATTACAGCAGCCCTGCCAACAATTCTCCTGAATTCGCTGGTTATTTTCGCCGTGGTAACAAGACAACGACTACGAAACAACTCTACCATACTTCTTGCTTGTCTAGCAGGGACGGCTTTGTTTACTGGCCTTGTTGGTCTACCTCTTGCCTTCTCGCTAGACTTGAAGCGCCTTCTTGGTGTTGGGCCATTTTGTTCTCCAGAAAAAGCATTGAATGTGATAATAACGATATCAATTTTTGCTTCGTTGGGTCATTTGGTCGTGATCAGCATTGATCGCTTTAACGCTATCAAATACCCCCTGAGGTACTTGGATATTGTCACAGAAGAGAGAATAAAAACCAGTATTATTCTAGCCTGGGCCATTGCTTTGATAATGGCAATCAGTGAACTTGTTCTGGCTCTAATAGGCAGTAAAAGCGTCTGCCTGATTTATTCAGTCGTGAACTCTGTGACACAAAGTGTTACCGGAATTCTTTTCATTATTACTATTTCATTGTGTTATGTTTACATTTACTCAGAGACACGAAGACAATTTAAACGCCTCAAAACCGAACAACTGCCTCAAGAGCAAGTCCAAAGAATCAAGAAAGACAGAAGGGCAGCTATCACTCTGGCAATCGTTCTAATTACTTAAGTAATAACTTATTTACCAGCAATAATAATTTCGTTAGTGACTGCTTCTTCAGATAGCATTTTAGTAGAGCCGCGCTTTATAGCCATTACTTTTAGCTGGGTGGGAATTCCAATGATGTTAGGTTCCCTGTGTAATCCTATCATTTACTGTTGGCGTATGACGAAACTGCGACACGCATTTCTCGAGATACTTCATCTAAGAAAACCTGACAACACCATGCCAGAAGCAGAAATTACAGGAACTCAGCCCTTTCAACCTGGACCGACGTTTTGTAGAACAGACCAGGCTTTCCCGTCACGCGGAAACGAGCAACCAGCTTTGATGTCATTTCGTCAGCAGCCAGTCGAATGCCTCCCTCGCATCGAAGAAGCCAGCGGGGAATAGCCCTTAATTCAATGCCATCATGTTGTTCTCATCCGTCAATTAGCATTGAGTGCGCTGAACTATAAACAGCAGTGGCGGATCCAGGAGAGGGGCCCGGGTCTCCCCGTTATTTTTAGACCAAACTAACGGCCGAAGGGCCAAAACAATTTTTTCGAGACCGCCCCGCGCCCCCTTTTTTATCGCACGACAACAACAACGATAAGCTTTATTTGCTTGACTATGACAAAGTATTATAGTTTTATCGCAAAAGCTACTTGAATTTAGTTTTTCATTCCTTTTTTAATTAAATATTTAAAATAACTTTAAATATATTAATCATAGGTTATTTTTAACCATCAGTAGGATTAATTATTCCGTAGACAAGTTTGTCTCTCAAATCAAAGCAAGATGATGTAAATGAAAAAAGTGAGTTTCATCTTCAATTCTGATACAATTGCAGAGACTGCATAACCTTTCATCAGAAGCTATATGGTCGTATCTACCTGTCTCAATCCTAAGTTTCTGACTGCTTATTCTCAGTTTCACTAATGTTTTCCTAGAAGGGTTCTTTCTTGTTAGATCTACGTAGGCAGGGGGGCTATAATTCGTTTTGATTTTGTGACAAAAGTTAAACGTTTTTTGTGAATGTAGAGGGGTATGATTCCATTAAGACACATATTTCTTTTGCATACGATCTACATATTGCTTAATTTTACATTCATTCAGTAAATGACAATTAAAGCCTGGGAAATTATAGTGGTCAGTCATCTTCTTGAGACTGGACTAAAAACTATGATTATGATGGAGGTCAACAGATATTTTTAAAGAATGCCAACTTTCGAGAGATAGTTTAAGAAATTAAGTATCTTTTTATTTATATCAATGATCAAAGGAATCTTCCAAATTCAGATCTGTATGCAACATAGGATGACTTGTTATGGACTTCTAAATATCGTTTACAAAAGTGTAAATGAGTTTTTTCGATTCCGGAGCTATCCCATGACCAGGGATTGCACGCACCTTGAAAGTCCTTAAATTTTAGAATGAAAATCAAAGGCCTTGAAAGTCCTTGAATGTTAATGCTAACTTTATAGTTTAAGTAGAACTACAAAGAGAAAGGAGCAAACACAGAAAGGCCTTCGGGTTAAAATTACTCATGTTGTGGAAGAACTAAAAAAGACATAGACTCAAGGCTCTTTTTGCACCGAATTGAGTCCTTGAAAGTCCTTGAAAAGTCTTTGATTTTTTTTTTCAAAAAAGGGTACGAACCCCGCATGACTTAAAATCTGATTTCACAAACGCACCCCAAACTTCACTATTGTAAGGTAAAATCGGTGAGATCATGCTCATTGTGTCAAAAATTTTACTTGCAAGGGTAGGTTTCAATTTACTAA